TAGCGCTTATCATCACGTGCGCATACATTAAAACGCTCTCAACTGCCCCACAATCCGCGACGCGGGCTGAACGGCCGGGGCATAACCAAGCCTGAGGCACTAACCCGATTTGGACCCCATCAAAACAATCAGTCCAGCATGCGATCCGGCTCCCGCGTTCGTTCTTCGATCCCATCTGAATGCTACCAACTCTTTCTTCGACCGAAGCCACACAGCAACAATTTCACGTCCAGATAATTCGGATGCATTGCGAAAGCTAACACACCAAAAACATCCATCCTTGGATATCGGTCATTGGGAATTCTTCCCCGGTAAACATCAACAGACGTCGCCATGGCCATGCGAGGACCGCGTCTCCAAGTCGGCTCCGGCCCTTGGGTTGCGGAAGAACGCTCCTGTGCCCTCAACATTGCACAGTCCGAAGTCGAAGAGTTCTCATACTCTGTGCGGAACGAGTACGACTGGCTGAATGAGCATATGGCTGGAATCTTCAACGAAAATGAAATGTCAGTGGCGGTTGGGTAGTCCTATCATCGAATGGTAGTAGCTGACGTTCAAATAGAAACATCGCAGAAACCTTCAAAACTCCCGGGAAACTACGAGGAAAGACCCCCTATACAGCTCGGAAGGCGAACCCCCTAGAAGCCCGGGTGGTAAGTTTGCAATTCAGCAGCAGAAGAAACCTCGAATGCTCACTATTTGTAGCCCTTGTCAAATGTGTTTGCGTCTACACCTAACGGCGCGACGAATCGCTTTACACAGCAACTCAGCCTCGCCCAGTCCCCCAAGCGCCCCGCCTCACCCGTGAGGGAATCGCCCAGTCCAGTCAAGAGTGTCAGCCGAGCTCATGCTGTCCTGTCCCCCAAGCCCGCCCGAATGGGCCCAGAAAGCCAGGACTCTGGCTATTACGGCAGTCAAGAGCTTGCCGACCAAGCCGCATCCTTGCGCGAGAGTTTCCCGTCAAACCAAATAGCGGATGTGATCCACGAGACGACAACTGTCGCGTCACCGGAAGTTAGTCCAGCCCCAACAGCTCAGCATTTGTCGCCCAAGAAACCGTTGCAAGCTGGAGACGAACACGCTGCTTCGGAGGAAGTCATCGCCCAAGAACCCGAGGTTCATGGTGAGACTGATGAAGATGGCGACGATATTGCCATGAGTAGTCCAATCGTGGCCGTGGAGGCACCCCAGAAAGCCAACCTAGAACCCGCCCAGGATGGTGCCGTTGCTTCCCTTCAAGACGATATGGAGGGTGTTGATCCTACCGATGGAGCTCGCTCGGTTTCAGATGGCTCCAGCCCTATTCGCCCGATGGTCCGGAAAAGCAGTCTCAATTTCGCACCTCTTCCTGCCCGGGAGCCTCTTGCAGCTGGAAAGACTGCAGGCCATCGTGCTTCTCGGGTGAGCCACCTCGATGACAATAGGATGAGTCATTACAACAGGTCCGCTGGAGAGAAAAGCCTCGGGAGTCAGGCTTGGCGAGAGATCCAAGACGAGGAACACCACGATGATATGGATATCGACAAGCAAGGAGCTCAGCCTGTTGAAGAGAAGGCTAACCCAGTGTTAAATCACAACCGGACATATACCCAGCGACTGCAGGATCAGATTAACAAGCTGGGCAAGACAACTGGCGGTAGCCGACCATCCAAATCGATCCCCAACCTTGCAGCTCAGGTGACAACTCAGTCATCGGAGCCCCCCCGCTCGCCTTCTCCCAAGCATATATCTCCTACCAAGTCGACCCCAGGTGCCTTTCCTGAGGATGATGATGACTGGATTGATCCACCCTCTCCAGCTCCAGCTCCGGCTCCCGTGACTGAAACTCTCACTAGACCTGAGTTATTGAAGAGTTACACAGCCGATGTAATGGAGGGCATTCATGTCCAAGGCGCTTCTAGGGATCTTCAACAAGATTCACCTGCAAAAGCCGCAGCCACCCCTGGTCACGCCAAGTCAGCATCTGTGCCTAACGTATCACAGCAGTTGCACGAACAGACCATTCCATTGATGAAGGCCCCCTCAATTTCGAAATCCATGCGTGTTCCCTCACCATCGCCTTCCCAGTCTCCTTCGAGGAGTTTTAGGGGCAGCCCTTTGAAGCAAGTCAAGGACAAGCTCTCATCCATCTTGAAGAGCTCGAGCCGTATTCTCGCTAGTAGCGCAGCGGCCAGCGCCGAAGGAAAAAGCGCGCTGTTATCACCTACCCGATCTCGACTCGCGTTGCACTTGACTCCCTCCCAAACCTCACTCCGAAAGCCTAGCAATGAGACACTTAAATCAGCTGATCCTCAACTGGGTCAGAAGGAGGCCGCCACGGCTGGGCCTGCCCCGAGACGGACTAGGGCTTCCACAGAGAAGGAGAAAGAGGAGAAGCGTCGGGAAAAAGAAACGAAGGTTATGGAAGATCAGATTGATAAGCTTGAAAAAGCCCGAGCAAAAGAGCGCGAGAAGGCCCGCGTCTTCAGCAAGGAACAGGAGAAAATTGCCAACATGGAGCGACAGGTTTCTGGCCAAAAGGGAGAGAAACCCGCAGAAACTGCTCGTCCGACAAGAACTAGCCCTCGCAAAGCGAAGGAGCATCAAGAAGAACCTGCCAATGTCATTGACCAGGATGTCGAAATGACTGATACACAGACCCCAGCTCCTCGACCTGCTTCCCAGGCCGCTCGAGCCAGAGAGGCCAAACGACCCATCAAACCCACAGCACCAACTAAGGTCAAACAGGCACCGACTGTTATCAGGGTCAATACTGGTTCCCAGAACTCACAGTTTCATCCTTCAACAGCTGGCAACTCTGCTAACGGAAACGAGAGCATGCTATCTTCAGTCTCCCAGACGCAGCAGCCTTCTCTGTCCAAGGCCAGCAAAGCTCCTGTTCAGTCCAAGCCACCAACTCAAAACATGAGGGCCCCTGCCTCTGCCAGTAAGCCGAAGGCAGCAGAGCTTGCGGCGAAGAGGAAGGAACAGGAGGAACGAGATGCGCAGCGTAAGCGAGAAGCCAAGGCCGAGGCAGAGCGAAAGCGCGTTGCTGCTCAGGAGGAGCAACGGAAGCAAGAGCAACGCCGCCAGGAAGCACGCCAAGAAGCAGAGCGTCAACGACAGAAGGACCGTGAGCAGGCGACGGCTCAAGCTGAGTCAAGGCAGAATGCACAGAGGCAGGCTATGATTGAGAAAGCAAAGCAGACGAGAGCGCCACCGCCGGCAGTGAGGGCACAGCCTAATGGGCCTCCGGACTTTAGCTCCCTGTCCCAAGAAAGAAAGGCTGATGGACCGGCTCGACCACCTTCACGTATGAATTCGGGCATCTATCGCAACTACGAAGAATCAGGCCGCCCTGTTAATGCTGTGCTATCAAATGCTTCCAAAGCTGGATTGAAGCGGCCCATGGGACATGATGAGGCCCAACCCCCACGACCGCAATCAAGAGCTGGCCCATCATACCAGGCCAAGGACGCTAAAAGGCGTAGAACCAGTCAAGACCATGATGAACTTGGATCAGACGACCAGCCAAATATGAAGGGCCCCCCAGTGCGGCCGTCTGCCGGTTTCAAGAAGGTAAGCGAGGCAATTTCTCTTAAATATATTGACAAATTTGGTTGTCTCAGTTTGCTAATTTCGAGGTAGGAGCCCGCCAAAAAGTCTGTATTCCAAAGTGGTTATACAAGTACGCAGGGCAGTGTTACTCGGGACCTGTTCAAGGCAACTGTTACTGCGCAACACAATAGCGCACAAAAGGCAGCTCACCCGTTGGACATGGCCCAGATTTCCAAGGGAGCCATTCCATTTGCACCCAACCCTAACCCTGCTGGTTCTCACAAGACACCGGCCAGGCCAGCGGGTGGCAAGTCGGTTCCTAAATCAGCACAGAGATCCTCGCCACGCTTCCAGAACGGAGAGACAATTGAGTTGCCAGAGATCCAGACGGATGACGAAAGCGATAGCGATAATGATGCTGGAGGTATGGTAGCAGCATGGGCCGACTCTCCAGACCTGCGTAGGGCGCTCATGCGTCAAGAGACGATGGATCCGTCGCAAATCTTCGGACCACCAGCGCCTCTCAACATGGAGGAGGTCTTCCACAAGAGCAAGGACAAGTTCCACAAGTTCCGTGCTCGAACTTCCAGTGCCAACTGGAGCGGCGTGGATCGTCTTACCGAGGAGGACATCCGGAAGGATCTGGCTGCTCGTGACAAGCTCCGACGTGAAGGAGGGTGGTCTTACGAGATGAGCAAAGATATGATCTAATGAACTTTCACATGGATTCAATGGGAAGAGGAGCAATATAGGTTTCACGGCAATGACAAGGGGATATACTGTCTGCCTTCAGTCGTCTAGGGTTAATTGGATTTACTGTTTGTACAAAGAGAATATGGCGTTTGTTGCTCAAGGGGGTGGTTTAAAGTTCATAGCGAAATTGCATGCCTTCGGAGTTTTTTTATCCACCGTCATTTTTCTCCCCAGTTATGCACGCTGGCAAAGAATTGTTGAACTCAAAATACCAACCACATCGGATTGATTCGGGTGACTAGAGCTAAACTAATCGACCGTGAGCACGTTGCGTTTTTGTTGGTCCAAGTGGCGGGTTCACATGAAACGCCGCCCAAGTGGATTATCACATGTCAGCGACAGGACAGACCCCAGCAGCCAAGCACAGATAATGGCGGATGACATATTTTTCATGCGTCTCGGAAGCCTCTTCGGACCATTTACGAAAACAAACCAAACAGATCGTCATCCGACAAAGCAATAGATTTCCTTTGCCCCGACAGCCACCTGCAATGGCTTGCTGAGTTGCGGTGTTTGTTCCCCATACGACTGGTCAGGCGAGCAGAGTGAGAGAGAGCGAGAGATAGGAGGAGGCCGATAAAGGAGAGCGTCATCGCAGAACCTGGTCCGATAACCCCCCATTGGTATCACCGACGCACGTTGGGCTGCTGCTGCTGCTCAACCGACTCACCTCTTGAACCGTCACGCGAGCGGGTATTAATAAGCCCATGATGTCCGTGTCAGCCTTCGTCCCGATGTATGAGGAGGTCAAGTGGGAGCGTACGACCGAGAGCAGGATCTCGACCGTCATCTCTCTCCTCCCCATGTCGCTCAAGTCGAGGATGGCTCCATTCCGCCCATTCGGCCGGACGGCCAGTATGGAGGATCTGGCAACGTCCAAGATCAAAGATGGCGAGAAGCTGTTGGCCTCGCACGCCCAGCTGCCTCGTCCCCTTTCTGTGGCCGGGCCGGGTGGGCTTACGACGGCATCGTCACCTGCGCTGCCAGAGATGGATGCTGGATTGTTGCAGGCGGAGCACGCTGCGTCGGCTGCTGCGTCAACGCTCAAAGCTTCCAAGATTAGAGATGTCCTTACTGGTGGGCAGATGGCAACGGGGCCCGGGATCAACTGGAGATTTGCCAGCCAAGGTAAGTTTAAATCAATGGGGTGACCTACGCCGATATCTTCCCTTCTTCTTCCTTGGAATGTTTTCTCACTCGTATGCAGGATCGAGCCTCATCCAGGGAGCATCCGAGGCAGCCAGCGAGGGAGTCAACGACACCTTTGAGAGGAAAGCGTTTGTCGACGGGGTGACGTATCTGATCCGAGCATTGCCACCGAATCTGGATGAGAGGGAGCTCGAGCAGGTGAAGGCAGCCCTGCCGGCGAGCCTTTCTCTCCCAATCACTGAGCCTGCCACTCATCCGGGGGCGATGTCACCTCCGGCCACATCTGGTCTCCCGCGGTCCGTGCTCCACCGCTCCGTCCAGCTGGTTGTCGTCCAGCTCATTCTGTTCCTGCACTTCCTCCTCCCTTACCTTATTCTGCTCTTCAGGACTGTTGTCACTTTCGAAAGAAAATTCAAAGTATCCGAGGCGGTATTTGAACAAGGCATCAACCTGGCTGGCGCTTTCAGGAGACAGGCCACCCATCTTGTGGATGCCGCCGTCAAAGTGAACGACGGGAAGGTCGGGCAGGGCTTGTCTAGTGTCGTTGCCTGGATAGTCAAGGAGGTCACGCGAGGTATTACAGACGGCGTGGGTGAGGGTATAGTCGTGACGAGGTTGAGAGACAGCACAGGTTTGGCTTTATGATTAGAAATATATTAGTATAGACGGGCTACGTTAATGAATATACGAACGGGAATTTGGAAACCAGGCATAATGAGGCTTGCGCAAGGAGTATAGTTTGTCGGGAGTTGTAGGCTAGATCACTTGCTCTTAACTATATGACATTTGAGTCCAAGCGAAAATAGGATTTCTGGGACAGATTTAGCATAGCGGCATCTCATTTCATCAATGGGAAGCAGGTACCCGTCCTTCGAGATGGTGTCGGCGAGGCTCAGTTAAGCCGAGATCCCGATGGTCTTTGTTCCACAGAGATGGGCAACTTGCCAGCTCGAACTAATTAGACCGCCGTTTACCTGTCCTTCCCATTCCTTCTTGCCGATAGGTCCATCGTCATGGTGGACGAGGAGGCATGAATCCTGGTGGCTTATTTTCTTGGCTTTTGCCCCATAAGCAGCCTTTCAAGCGATGGATACGACTGGCATATGCCAAGCGAGCGGGGAACAATCACCATCCGGCCAACACCACTGATCAACACTTGTGGCGAAGTGAATCTGGACGTAGATACTTAATGGATACAGTACCCTGGGATCGTGAGTATGTAAAAGGATTGATTAGGAAATACGCTCATTACTCATCCAAGACAAATGCCTGTATGCTTGCTTATTGGGCCTGAATACCCCAAGGTACCAAGGCACTTTGACATTGTGCTCTGGCTGCATCATGCCATCAGCTTAGATTTTGCTCCAAGCCACTCACCCGAGTATTCGTCATTTTTAGAGGGCTAGGGCAACCATGTCTCATTAGACCACACCGGTTGGCTTAGACACCATGGTGGAAGCGCGGGTGCAAGGCAGGGTCGCTCCGTTCTCTTGGAACTCTTGGGTATACGCTTGCAATGATACCCAAGTGATCGGAGTCCCGTAATCATGCCATGTCCACGATCCTAATTGCTCAATCTCCTTCTCTATTGATACCATTGCTGCTGGAGTTGTCCGGAGCTACTGGGGTAATATTAGGCTGCCCTGCATTTCTATTGGAACCTTCTGACGTGCCAAACGTTTTTGGCAGGCGAAGAAAGAGGTGCGATGGGGCTAGGAATATGCTTACAGCCGGAATCAAAAGTTCTGTGGTTCCCCCCGATTCGAGAGAATTGTGATCTCCCAATTGGCTGGACCTTGGAGTTTACCTCGTTTTGCTCCCACCCACCCATGTCGATCCCCACACCGGCTCTTTGGCTCTTCTCCTGGGCGGCAGGGGTTTTAGTGTGAGGCCGGGGTAGCTTATCACGTACAAGGTAGCACTAGATTGTTTTCCGCAGGTCCCAAGCGACCGTTCCGGAGTGAGGTTGGTTCTGGGGTGAACTTCTGCTTGCGTGATGGATCGCCAATCAATTCGGTGGAGAGGCCTCGCGAAATGTGGCGAGAGGAGAAAATCCAATTGCCAGGGAGGTAGAAACAGTCGGTGGGATAAATACCGAGGGCACCCTCCCCGAGTCATCAGCCTGGCCCTGTCTTGGACCCTTCCAACCATCTCTCACCATAGCTGATAGCTCAAACCGAGAGCAATGAAGTTCTATACTGCCCCGGCGCTTTGCGCCTCTCTTCTGCCGCTCGTTGTAGCGAAGGATTGCAGGCCTCCCGTGGAGTCCGAGAAGCTCCAAGAGCTCATCACAGAGGAAGGGTATGGCCCATTCTGCCGAGGATCTTGTCCCTGGCCCTCCCCAAGAAGCCAATTGGAAAGCTAACTGTTTTTGCTCCCACTAGACTGATGGCCAATCTGGAGAAGTTGAACGAAATTGCCTACGCTAATGGTGGTAACCGTGCTTTTGGCCGCCCCGGCTACGAGGCCTCAGTCGAGTTCATTTACGGGGAGGTGTCCAAGCTCAAGGGTTTCAATTCCTGGATCCAGGACTTTCCTGCCCTCTTCACAAATACGACGGCTCAATCAGTCACGGTCGACGGCGAGACCTACCGAACCGTAGCCCTCACTTACACCCCGAGCACGCCAGAGGAGGGTTTTACAAGGCAATTGGTCCATGCTCCTGAAGGTACAGATGCCTGCTTCGTTGAGAAATACGAGGGAATCGACGCCAAGGATAAGATCGTCCTGGTTGAGCGTGGACTTTGCGACGATGGAACAACTTTCGCTGGCAAAGTGAAGCCTGCTGCAGCTGCCGGCGCAGCCGCTGTTATTCTATATAACAATGGCCCCGCCAAGCTCACGGCCGGATCGCTCTCTAATCCCTCACCGGACTATGTCCCTGCTGCTCTGATTGACCAGGAGCAAGGACTGGCCCTCAAGGCGCGTCTTGCTGCTGGAGAGTCCGTGGAAGCCCTGGCTGTCATTGTGCAGCTCATTGAGGAGCGCATTACGCAGAACGTTTTCGCCGAGACCAAGTTTGGAGACGGAACCAACTTCGTGCAACTGGGAGCTCATTTGGACTCGGTTGTTGCCGGCCCAGGAATCAACGATGACGGCTCAGGAACCTCCCTGATCCTTGAAGTTGCCAAGGGCCTGGCCAGCTTTTCTACAAATCTCAAGGTTCGCTTCAGCTGGTGGGGCGCTGAGGAGAATGGTCTCTGGGGATCAAGGTACTACGTGAACAACCTGAACACCACTGAGGTAGACAACCTCCTGGTGTATCTCAACTTTGACATGGTCTCTCGTGGATTCTATGGTGTATTCGATGGATCCGGTGACAAGGCTGCCCCAGGTGGACCGGCGGGGTCAGAGGTCGTTACAGATCTCTTCGTCGAGCACTTCACTGGCAAGGGTCTCGAGGTGACGGACGTTGGTCTCACTGGCGGCACTGACTACGTCCCATTCGTGAACGTCATCAACAAGCCTGTTGGTGGTTTGTTCACGGGAACGGGCACAGAGCAGGATGCTTGCTACCACCAGGCTTGTGACAACATTACGAACCCTGTGCCGGAGACCATTACCATCAATGCGAAGGCAGCAGCTCATGTGCTCAGTGTGCTGGCCATCGACGGGGTCGAGCTCATCCCCAAGGCTCCGTCCAACTCAACCACTACCATCCGGCGCGTGAGAGATTCCGCCTTGCTGCAAGGTCAAGGCGTGACGGCCGGGCACGGCAAGGTATGCGACCATGATGAGATTTAAGGCTATCAAGAGCGATGATTCATGACGAATGGGATAAATGTATCGTAGAACTGTAGAATCAGGATGAGGAGTTTGACAGATGCTTGGAGCGAGGGTGTTTAGTTGTCTTGGTGCACAAACCGCAAGCAAAATACAATCAAGTGGGATGGTACATACGAGTACTTACAAAATGACAGATCTTCCCATACATTGACATGTACTGACTACTTGATCGCCCCACTGATGGATAAAGAGTGGGCACCTTTGAAAACCTCTCCCATAATTGGCCACTACCATTGGCTGCTCTAGTCATGGTCCCCTTATCGCTAAGAAAAAAAATTCTAGTCGCACCTTCTTCCATCGCCTTTTATCAACCTCCACTATCAACTTTTGTATAATCATCACTCCCTTCTTAATTTACCGTATCTTCTTTTTCTGTCATATCCATTCACTCTACGGTCGCTCAGATAATTTTCAGTTTCCGACACGTGTTCGCCATGTTTCGGCAAGCACTCCGCAGCTGCGTGAGGCCAGCAGGCTCGCTGGTTTCCCTTGCGCGTGCTCCCACCGGCCTCTCCGCCGTCACACGACAGAATCTGCGACCAGTTTACCGCTCGGTTACCCCCTTGAAAAGTATCGCCAACACATACAGACTATACAGTGATGAGGCTGCCGCCGTACAAGAGGAGATCTCTCACCCCGCTCCCGTCCGCGATGTGGTCAATTTCAAGGACTTGACCCAGCTTGGTGTTCATGGCAGTCTGATCGATGCCATTGTCAAAGATATGGGCTACGAGTCAATGACTCCCGTCCAGTCCAAGACTATCAACCCCGCTCTCAAGGGAACCGATATGTAAGTTTCCTCTTCAAACCAGTGATATACTTGAAGCAATTTCTGACTGATGATCTAGTGTTGCGCAGGCCAAGACCGGCACAGGAAAAACCATCGCCTTCTTGCTTCCCATGCTGAATCGCATGATCAGTGAAGACCGAACCCTGGCATCCCGAGGAGCCAGCCGTCGTGCACGATCAGATGATATTCGCGGCATTGTGCTCTCACCGACTCGAGAGCTTGCCGAGCAGATCGCTGTTGAGGCTCGTCGATTGACACGCAACACAGGCCTAGTCATCCAGTCGGCCGTTGGTGGCACCAACAAGACTCAGATGCTGCGACAGACTCAGCGACAGGGATGCCATCTCCTTGTTGCCACTCCTGGCCGTCTGAATGATTTGCTTCAGGATCCCCGCTCTGGCATTGATGCACCCAATCTGGCTGCCCTGGTTCTGGATGAGGCTGACCGGATGCTTGATGTGGGTTTTGAGCAGGAGCTCAACCAGATCATCCAACAGTTGCCAGATCCTTCGACCAAGGTCCGCCAGACTATGCTCGTATCTGCTACCATTCCCGATGACGTTATTCGCCTGGCTCGCACTATGGTTCGCGCAGACGACTTTGAATTCGTACAGACTATCCCGGAAAATGAGTCTCTTACCCATGACAAGGTGCCCCAGAATGTTGTGCCTGTCTCTTCTTGGGCCAATGTGTTCCCTACACTATTTGAGCTGCTTGACCGAGAAGCCGCCAAGGTTGCCGAGAACCCCGACTCCCCCCCATTCAAGGCAATCGTCTACTTCAACACTACTTCCATGGTTGAACTTGCAGGAGAGGTCGCATTCAGCCGGAAGCGAGAAGGCTTGACCAATGTCTCCTCCTTCAGCATCCAGTCTAAGCTCACGCAGGTCCAGCGCAGCCGAGCCGCCGAGATGTTCCGGAATGCTCGATCCGCTATTCTTCTGTCTTCTGATGTTACAGCTCGTGGCATGGACTTCCCTAACGTCACACACGTGATTCAGGTGGATACACCTCGCTCCCGAGAGGACTACATTCACCGTCTGGGCCGTACTGGACGACAAGGCAAGGAAGGTGAGGGTTGGTTGCTTCTGCCCCCTCAGGGTGTTCAGTCAGCCCGCAAGATGCTTGCCGGCCTGCCTATCAAGCAGAATGCGTCATTGGAGAGCGCTGAGGCTGATATTGAGGCTGGGGACCTGCCTCCTCTCCACCAACAATTCCAGGATCTCACTCGGAGAGTTCCTCGAAGCATTCTGGGAAGCGCATACACTTCGCTTTTCGGAGCTTCAGGCCAGAAGCAAGAACTCGCTCGAGACTTGTATCACTGGGCCACCCGTGGCTGGGGATGGGCTCAGCCTCCTGGTGTCAGTGCGAAGTGGGCTCATCAAATGAACATTTCGGCCAGCCATTTGAACATTCAAGACAGATCACAAAACTACTCTCGAGACCGGGGAGACCGAGGAGACCGTTTTTCTGGAAGCGACCAAGACGAGTCCTCCGATCCGTTCGAAGCGATGGGACGTCAAGCCCGCTCTGACAGGCCTCCTACCTGGCGCGGTTCCCAAGGTGGCCGTGGTTATGGCCGTTCCGGCAGTTACGGCCGTAACGACGGCTATAGGCGTGACAGGAACTCGCAATCATCTTCATGGTGAGGCGGGATGCTCTCAAGAAGGGTGTGATGTAAGATAAAAATCACCGGGAGGTACAATCCACAAAAAAATCTCACTGGCCCCTGACGACCAAGAGAGGCGATGACAGAGAGGGGAAACATTCTACTCAGATGTCGCTGTATATATTCACTCATTATGCTTGTGGCATTCTGACCCCGGCGGAAGGAATCATGTAACAATTTTGTACACTAGGTCGGCGAATGGGATTTGAGGCCTCTTTTAACGTGTCCATCAGGAACTCTCCAACATCATAGACTAATGAATATATCGAACTGTAACGATTTTCTTCATCTTGCTGAACTTGAGGCTCGTGGATTATGTCTACTGTGGAAAAAAAAATCAACCTTTATCGCTTATTCCAGCCATACTTGAAATCCTTCAACGCCCTTCTTCTTAAGTTAAACTCCCACTGCATGATACCCAAGCTGGAACATTCTTGCATATTTTCTTCCTGATTCGTTTTCTTTCTCACTTGTTTACAGCTCTTCCTTATCTCCCAGCCATGAGCATGTTCGAATCCCATAACAGCACCCTCTCGTCCCAGCCGACCGAGGCGACCCAGCCACCCATCCCAAACAAGCACCAGTCCACGCCTGTGGCGAACTCGGTATGCCTGTTCATGACCCCGAGCTGCCTCCCGACCGACGGCCCGCCGCCCGGGTTCATCGCGGACTGCTGCATCGACCCGTCGCTCCACAGGCGCACCGTCATGTCGTAGCTGGCGCTGATGAGCACGTCGCTCGCATGCGGGCTCCACGCCAGCTTCCGCACGGCGTAGTCGTGGCCCGGCATCACCGACAGTGGACCCCCCGCGGGGTTGCGGATGTCGAAGGTGCGTATGACCCTGTCGACGCCGCCGGTGGCTATCACGGCGTCGCGGTATTTGTTCCAGTCCTGGGTGAGGATCTCGGCGGGGGCGGAGGGCTGACCTGGGCTGCCGGGGAGGGTCGTCTGCGGCGGCGCGTGGACGGGGATAGAGGACACGAGGTGGTACTTGGCCGAGGGGGGCGTGCGGAGGTCGTAGATGCGCAGGTGGGAGTCGGTCGAGGCGGCGGAGATGAGGGCGGGGTTGGAGGGGCAGAATGAGGTGCTGTATGTGCAGTTGCCTATGGGGAGCGTCGTGATGGACTGGTTGCGTGTTGGCGACCACTAAGCATAAAAAAATCACATTAGATCAGTTCATGGAACTTTGAGTAGTTGGTAGAGGAAAGGAAGCTGGGGCCGGGGCGTACGATTTTGACGGTCCCGTCCCACGAACTCGAGACGAAAGAGTCCTTGGTGACGGGGTTCCAACACACGGCGAACGTCTCCCGTTTGTGTTCATGGAAGTTCATGACGGGGAAGTCGTTGACGCCGAGGTCGAACAGCTTTATCGAGCCATCGCCGCAGGCTACGACCAGCTGGTTCTCGTTGATCTCTGACCACGCCAGGTCGTACAGAGCGTCGTTGGTGTCGAAGCTAGCGGCCGATCAGTGTCAGCCCCATTTGACGCCTGTTGGTTGTAACTTGGGATATGCATACGTTTTCTCGACCTGGATGCCCTGCGCCGACAAGCCCAGCGCAAAGAGGCGGCCATTGCCCACGATGCCGAAGTTGGCGGAGCTTGCGACGGCGATCCGCGAGTCGTAGTAGGGCGAGTACTTGACAGCATAAGGATTGAAGCCTTGAGTGCGGAACTCAAGCATTGAAGCCATTTTGGCGGGATATTGGTACGGTACGCGCGCGCATTGAGGATATGTCTACGTGGAGAGGCCTGCGACAAGCATTTCAAATCTTGTGGTGTTTTATTCAATCACGAGTGGTAGGAGCTTCATGTGCCTCGGCAAAGGCCCGACGTCACACGTCCCCGTAGGCCATTACGGATATTAAGTTATTCAATGGCATAACTCGGCTTATGCTTGGTCTGTAGACTTATGCACGTAAAGAGAATTCAATTCAAATCGTACTAGTCATGTGACCTCGCGTCAATATCGTGCGCCCTCTAAATGACATCTTCGCCACGAAACCCTCAAAAGTATCAAAAAGCGTGGGGCCAGTTGTTCAATTTCCCCAAGGGAGGCTCATCAGCTGTCGCACTATGCTAGCTGTCGCCTTCTACAGCTTGGGTTTGATGTCGATTCATCACAGCCCACGCGTTGAAGAATGAAGGCGTTCTTGGAGCGCGCAAAACGCAAACGGACCCCTGAGCCGGACGAGGATACCGGGGATGGCGACGAGCCCACGGAGGTCAAGCTGGCGATGCTGGCATCTCTGCATCCTGGATTAGAACAAGAGGTTCTCCTGGATGTTCTTCTTGCCCATGACGGGTCCGTATCTGCTGCCACATCCTCTCTTCGCGGCCAGAACCAGCACGGGAGAAAGAAAAGCGCCGGTGTCGTAGGCTACCAGCAGTCCATGACACAATTCGCAGTCTCTAACAGTGGATCAAGTCCTACGAAAAAGAAAATTAAGGCTAAAAGGGGGAGTACCCTCCATTTGTACGATCCTGAAGATGTGGCGGAACATACCCCTTGCACAATCGTGCATAACTTCTTACCTCAAGACCTGGCCAACGATCTCCTAAAAGAGCTCCTTAACGAGGCCGAGACATTTGAAAAGCAGACTTTCAAGCTGTTTGACAATGTTGTATCAAGTCCTCACACGACTAGCTTTTTTGTCGAGAGTTACGACGAGATACAGAGTCAAAAAACTGAATATCATTACAACGGAGCCCGCTTAACTGTGAGATTCTACCTTCTCTTCTAAGCAATGATACTGGGTATGTAATTGATTGTAACTGATGCATATTTTTGCTTTCTCCATACAGGATGTCCGGAAAATCACTCCAGGGCTTATCAGAGCGAAGCCCCTTGTCCAAGAGGCAGTCAACAAAGAAGTCCAGCATCGCATTGCAACCCGGTATCCTGGGGGTAAGAAGCTAAAATACCAACCACCTCACCCTTGGGTCCCGAATTCGGCATTTGTCAACTGCTACAACGGGCCACAAGAGAGCGTTGGTTGGCATTCAGACCAGCTAACGTATCTGGGTCCCCGGGCGATCATAGGCTCCCTCTCTCTCGGCGTCGCACGCGAGTTCCGTGTCCGCCGCGTCGTGCCTAAAGACGATGAGAAGTCGGCCGAGGATCCTGATGCCGAAGGCCAAATATCCATCCATCTGCCCCATAACTCGCTATTGGTGATGCACGCCGAAATGCAAGAGGAGTGGAAGCATTCCGTGGCGCCGTCACTGTCCATCGATCCGCATCCCATCTCGGGAAACAAACGGATCAACGTCACGTACCGCGATTACCGGGCAAATATGCATCCCCGGCACACGCCCAAGTGTCCCTGCAAGGTCCAGTGTATCCTGCGGGTGGTCCAAAGGAAGAAGGAGAATTTTGGAAAGTACTTTTGGATGTGCTATGCTGGCAACGTGCCTGGGAAGGCTGGATGCAGCTTCTTCCAGTGGGCAGAATTCGATGATGATGGAAGGCCAAAGCCTTTTTCGAAACCCGCACATTCAAGATAGTTGGATAGGCTCAGCCAGCGTCAGCGTTGAAGATTGGCAATCTCAATATGAAGAGAGCACCTTTGCCTGTTGTGAAACCAATTGTCGGCAATTCAACTTGGTGCATTCAACATTATTGACTGGCTTAGCGACGAGTGCAAAGAAAAACAATGCAGCCCAGTGGAAAGGATGGCCAATGTTCGCTGTAAGCCCCGACTTACAACTCACTCTGTCCGCCGACTTGCTTGTACCTACCATTACTTAGGTACTCTTCCTACTGTGGCCTAGTCGTACAAGCTCGTGATCCTCCATCACAAGATACTTCATGTAAGGTTATTGAGCTTCTCTCATTCAGTGAGCTAGGTATCGGCCAGGCGACCTCTATCTCTTTCGATCTCCATTCTTGAAGGAATTAAAATTTCCTAGGAATTGGCGTGACAGCTGAAGAGTAGGGTTTCTGTTATTACATGATTTCGAATTGAATTCAATCAAGGTTGATGGCGTTGCATAATGACTGTCTCGTTGATACACAAACCCCACGATTGGCTTGCATCAAATTGGGCGAGGTGAGGGGCTGATTGCAGCCACTTTTTCCACCTTCATTCTCATCTCTTACCCAAACACAACATTAGCCAATTCTGTATTACTGCAACTCCAACTGCCTAGCCTTATCGTTCCTTTCGCCTCTCCCTTCAATTGATCATAAAACAGCAAATCCACAGGATTGTGCCATCGATTCTACCCTCACCTTTTTTGGTCATACAATCCAGCAAGGGCCATAGAGGTTATCGAGAGACCGTCAAATCTCAGGAACTATCTATACTTATTCAACTCAGATCCTTGAGCCATGTCGGAAGCACTCGAGTTCGCTTCGTCCTCGGCAGCTCTTCTTGAGCCATACCTGCCCCCAGTGTCTTCTCAATCAACAGCCGCGAAACCCTTTGTCACTCTTACATTTGCGACCTCATTGGACTCCTCGCTATCTCTCGCTCCGGGCGTACGCACCCGTTTGTCTGGCCCGGGATCCAAAGCCATGACTCACTATCTTCGCTCTCGACACTCGGCTATTCTGGTTGGCATCAACACCATGCTGGCCGACGACCCGGGACTCAACTGCCGGATTTCTGGAGCGTCATCCCAGCCTCGACCGATCATCATTGATCCGCACCTGCGTTGGACGCCGAAGCGTTCTGATAAGGTTCTACAAATCTGCCGAGCCGGTCAAGGTCTGGCCCCCATTGTCTTGACGGGATTGCAACCAGAACAGTGGCCAGAGAACAGCATCTCGGTTCTTACTGAACATGGTGGGAAGCTCATCCACGTAGAGCCAAAGAAGACCGCATCTGGTGGACGAGGCCGCTTTGACTGGCACGATATCCTAGACGTGCTCTCCCGGGAAGGGCTATCAAGCCTAATGGTTGAGGGAGGGGCTCAGATCATAAACTCCCTTCTAGATAGCCAGTACCATTCACTGGTAGACTCTGTAATCGTCACGATAGCGCCCACATGGCTCGGAGAGGGAGGCGTTGTAGTCTCGCCTGCCAGAGCTCATGACGAGCAAGGCGTGCCTATCCCAGCCGCAAGGCTGTCAGACGTGAAATGGCATCCCTTTGGAGAAGACGTGGTTCTCTGTGGCAGACTAGACAAAAAATGAAGAGGGTTTGATTTTCTTGGCCTCGTTGAAGGTGCCCCACAGGGCGAGTCTGAGCCGATCTCCAAACATCTGTGGGCACGCAAACTTGCCTTGCCTGTCAGTGAGAATGCCAATTCCCAAATCTGCGTAACATCACGTTCGTCGATCTTTCGATATTTTGCCTGATTCAATCGCAGGCCTCGCGTCACAGTCCCTCCATACCACCCTCCCGCACACACACCACGCATAAGAGGCCACCCAACCTACGTCACTCGCCATGGCTCCCCGCATCACCATTCTCGGGTCCCTCAACATCGACCTGGTCTCCTACGTCCCTCACCACCCTCTCCCCGGCGAGACCCTGACCTCCAATGGCTTCAACTCCTCCCCCGGCGGCAAGGGCGCCAACCAGGCCGTCGCCTGCGCCAAGCTCTCCCGCACATCCTCCCTCTCCGGCGCCACCGCCGACATCTCCATGATCGGCGCCGTGGGCAACGACGCCTTCGGCTCCGTCCTCCGTGACAGCCTCCAGTCCTACGGCGTCGACGTCTCCGCCGTGGCCGTCCGGGACGCCAGCAAGACGGGCGTCGCCGTCATCGTCGTCGACGAGCCCTCGGGCCAGAACCGCATCGTCCTCTCCCCCGAGGCCAACCACTCCCTCCTCCCGGAACACTTCGCCCAGCTCCCCGCGCCCCTCCCCGACCTCCTCATCATGCAGCTCGAGATCCCCTTCGACACCGTTATGCAGGCCCTAAAGGCCGCGAAGGCCGCCGGAGTGCCCGTACTCCTCAACCCCGCCCCCGCCCAGGTCCTCCCCGCCAAGGCCTACGACGGGCTCGCCCACCTCGTCGTCAACGAGACCGAGGCCGCCCTCCTCTCCGGCAAGCCCGAGTCCGAGCTCGAGTCCCTCGAAGGGTTGCAGCGCGTCGGCGCACTCTTCCTCGACAAGGGCGTCCAGAACGTCATCATCACCCTCGGCGGCCGCGGCGTCTACTACGTCAACAGCGCCGGCAGGGGCGCCCTCATCGAGGCCGAGAAGACCGTCGTGGTAGATACCACCGCGGCCGGCGATACCTTTGTCGGATCGTACGCCCTCGCCGTCGTGGGCGCGACCGGCACGCCCTTTGACATTGACGCTGCCATCAGAGCTGCCAACAAGGCTTCAGCGAAGACGGTAGCGCGGAAAGGCGCTCAAGTCTCTATCCCATGGAAGGATGAGCTGGAGTGAAAATTTTCTATCATTGGGGGATGGGAGAAAAAGTATACAAAAGCAATGAGATTCAAAATCCTACACAAGGCCAAATAGTAAATAGAAATAAAATTGAACCAAAGACAATAATACCATTAACTTGCTACCATGTACAATAATCAAACGAATGAGTTGAATTTATACACGATACTCCAAAAATATCCTGCTATCATTCTTTTCCAAGTGGTGGCTAGCCCTGAATTGTGATCATCCAACACTAGAACCAGCTCGCCCACGCCCATCTTCCGGTGTCTTTCTTCCCTTTGCCTTTGGCTGTGGTTGACATTGACTTTGCCCCCTTTCCCTTCCTATCGTAACTATCTGAGATGAGATCTGTCAGGTCTGGAAAGAGGCTTTTGAGTCCATCCCTCCCGAATGAACCTCTATTCCGTAGAAAGGTCTCGCTATCCCCAGACGAGCCAACATCACTTCCACAACTTCTGCTCTTCGGCGATCTTGATCCTTTACTAGTTTCCTGCCTATAGCTCTGTCCTGAATCTGCGGAACAACTGCTGCTCGGTGAATTGCAAGACACCTCCGAATCATGATTCTTGATATCGCATTGGGAGCTCCATTTCTTTTGCAAGCTCGCCTGTCTTACTGGAACCACTGGTAACTTCTGATCAGCCGAGGGTAAGCCAGCTTTGGAAGGCATGATCCTTTCCAAGGACAAGGGCGAACTGGATCTGGCGGCCTTTCTTGGGCATGACCTTGTAGCTAGCATTTTCCCCATTGCTTCGCTTGCTTTGCTGCCACCCCAGTGCCTCTTGACCAGCTGGAATAAGGGATTGGACGAAGGTGCAGGCCTTGGTGACCACGGAGACGAGACCATTTGACGCTTCAGACTAGCTGTGGCCACTGTCTCCAATCGACTGTGCATGCTAGATATGCCAGTCTCGCTTCCATCGCAAGCAGACTCTGGGAAGACCGAGTGCGCATACGACACCTTGACGTGCATGTAATTAAATTGTGAGCTCCCCAGCTGGATTTCGAGGTCCTCGATCAACTCTTCAGACTTCTGCCGAACGTGTCCCTGGACTGGTCTCTGCAGACACTTCTGATCCGCGTCGATCCGAATCTCAGCTAACAGCAGGATGCTGGATCCAGCATAAATCGTACTTGGACTGTTACTATCGGTTCAAGTTGCCCATCGGAAAAGAAAACTTACGTTGGGAAAATCTGTTCGCGCAAAACCTGAACCACAGTCGTCTGGGCAGCGGGCAACACCTCAACAGACAGGTCGTATAAACAACCAAACTCAAAGAAACGGTCTATCAAGCAATTGATTAGGCAATCAAGCTACTCTGACATGAATTGAAAGCACACACCTACCCAGTTCATGCTCGATAAATGTCCCCGTCACCACTCCGGTTCGGTCGCAGGCTGCCACTTTGGAGGAGAGTGTAGAGAGTCTTCCCGAAACCTCTATGGCTGCCCATATCGTTCTCTGGCAGTCTTGGAGAGTATTGACTTCTGCTGTCACGACCACGTGTGGGCAAAGAGTGCATGATCTATTTTGAAGGCGGTCGAGAGGATAAACAGAGGTGGGCGACGGCAGCCTTAAACTCTGACGGATATCCTGCGAACATGCCGACGTAGGGCTTCCAATAGACCGGTCATCCGCTTGAACCGCGTTTAACGTCTCGAGTTTCAGTTCTGGCGAGCAAGAAGAAGCAGACGGCACGCGTGCACACTGCATCCTCAGCCCAAGATGGCTCTGGATCGATGGGCGAGGCTGTCGTGTCTTTCGCACGTTTAAGGTCTGGGAACCAAGCATCCCTCCTTTGCAAACCATCCCATCTTCCCAGTGATATTTACCAGAAAGAAGGTCACCCTTGGTTGGATTGGCAACAGCATGGGGGATATTCTCCAAGGTAAATCCGCCGTGGTGCCTCTCGCGCTTCCTCTTCATTATCGTCAGGCATCCGTCGTCGCCATCACAATCTTGCATGCTTGCGTTTGATCTGAGACTGAGACTTCTGGGGCTGTAGAACGAGTCTTCGCTGCTAAATCGCTTCACAATTCGCAGAGGGCTAGGCTTCCCGGACCGCTCTCGTTTCTTGTGCTCCTCCAAGTATGAATCCGGCGAGCTCGACGCCATGACTGCTGGTACGCCGATTTGCCACTTGCAGTATGATTGATAAATTTCAGGTGTCGCAACTCAGCTTCAAGGCAATAAATTTGCAGTCTTTCGAAACTCTTTCAGATGCAGGCCACCAATTAGTAGATAATGATGGAAAATATAGCAGGGCTAATTAGCATAATAGTGAGATGGCAGGAAAAGAAATATATCTGCTTCGCCCATTTCGCGTACTTCCAAATTCAGTGGTATGCATATCATACATCATTTTGACAGAGATTGGGAAGTGGCTGATGAGAACAAGATGACAGTCACACACAAGATCAAAAGGGAAAGAGCCAGGTTGAAAGTCAAGGAATGATTTATGGGTATCAACATGCTTCTAATGTAAAACAAGCGTGCAGAGAATTTAGGCATGTACCTGCCAAGAGCAACAGCGACGGGGGAATTCATTGAACACCTCAGTACCGTAACTTCCTGATCTCGGCCAGATGAATGGACAAGACTATTGATCTCATGGGAGAAACATCAAGTTGGACTTCCAAGAACACGCATGATGTTTTCTTTGACAGTCTCAATCTCCGGTTCGTCCATAGGAACGAAATTGATCTATAAGACGGTGCAGGTTAGCTCCAACGTCTCGAACAACGTACGTGACAAAAACCAACATACCAGATCCTCAGGGACAGTATTGGATCCTCCATAGAGGGCAGCCTCCGACAAGCACGTTGCAATCCCCTTCTTGACGCGGTCCTCCCACACACCATCCCAGTTCCACTCCCCTGGGGCTCTGGTCCCAGAGGAGTCGTTCCCTGAGTCAGCGGCAGGATCTGGTGGCGGCTTCGTGCCATCATCCTGCAGAACGGGATCACCGGTGCTGCTCTGCGCTGGCCTGCTAGATTTGCGGCGGTGCGTTCTCCACGCGTGCCAGGCGCCAGGGTTCCCCGCGGCCTCAATCGGCACCGAGTCCAGGACGTCCCCGTCGTCGAAGGTGCTCCGTATGTACTTTAAGATGTCGTAGACAGACGGGTAGCGCTCAGCGCTTTGACTCGTGCCCAGCTCGGGGACCCTCGGCGGGCTCGCATGTACCGAGCGACCTCCTGGGTATTCCCCTGTGGCTTCCGGCGTTGCCTTTTCGCCTCTACTGAACCACATCGGGAACCCATGCCGAAGGCTGAAGCCCCCCAGAGGCAGCCGCTCGTCATCAGTTGCGCTAACGGTGCCGGTGCTCTGAAGATCATGCGTATACATGTTCGTCGTCAAGGGTGTGATGAGCGGGTGGAAGATGTCAGTGGCGAATGAGACCACCGGAGGCATCTCGGGGTAAGACAAGGGGAAGGAGATGTGAAATCGCAGCACAGCTGGCGCATAGGGTCCTTTGTGCTGGCATCAGCTCACATGTCACGTAGCATCTGCACTTGATCACATTCCAAAGCTTACCATCTCGCACGAAGAGGATTGCTGACCAGATTGTCGGGTCGGTAGGTGTTAAGCTTACGAAGACTCCCTCTGGACACGCCTGCTTCAGTCCTGCGCTAGCTTGGTGTGTCAGTTGGAGGCTTCCCTTGCCATCAGAGCTCACGCCCTGTATATGCCGAGGCAAACTAACAATTCAGATTGAAGCCTCTGTTTTCGAAACGAGGTCAGGATTTGTGGATTAACTGGCGCCATTCTGTTGCTAATTATAAAGGTCACATGTCTTGATAATTGTAGGTAAGGGATGTCTTGGCATGTTGGTGGTTTGAAGCTGGATTATGCATTGTCACCTGTATAAGACGGTTGGGGAAAGCGGTGAGCCGGGCGGTCTGGCATTTTGTCGGACGAAACACGACCCCGCGGCAATCCGCGGGGCTTTTATTAGATGGTGGGGTTATCAGATCATGCCGATGATATGTGACTCATTTATCTAAAAAGCAAGAGATGTGGAGGAGGAAAACATGAGTGTCCAAGGTTGGAGTGCACTATCCAAGAACAATGAAAAAGTGGTCTTAGATCTTAGAACATGCTGTATGCAAACGTAAAACTTTTCGTTTTCATGATATCATAATATATCCCGCCATCCGAGGGCTCCTCACCCTAGGGACGACCAGGGACATGTGTAAATCAATTTAAGCACTGGACGAGCCATCTTATTTCCCAAGACGTTTCTCGATCTTGGACCTCTCTTGGTCTTTGATCTGTGTCAAGTCATCCCTAGTTGCATTGTACGCAGCAGTGACTTGGTTGAAAGGGTTGTCCGGACTCTTCTCGAACTCCTTCCTGATGCGTGTCTTGCGCTGATCCAGTCGCAACCCAACTCCGCTGCCATCAGCCTTCATCTCTTGTAGCCTTCGTTCCTCGTACTTGGCATAGGCAGCAGCGAATCGACGTTCTGGATGTTTGTCGACCTTGGAATCGTCCGAGGCGTTGGTAAGGGACAGCGCATCGAGGGCATTGTCGATACCAGAGGCGTTCAGACTGGTGGCCTTGTTATCATCGTCGAGCTGGGAGAGGTCAAGGCCACGGGACTTCTTCACGGCAGTCTTGCCCTTCTTGGGCTCATTCCTCCCACCAGCGGCTTCCTCGTCCTCCTTCGCCAGGGCATCCTTCTCGGCCTTCTTCCTGGCCTGCTCGGCCTTTCGAGCTGCTTCGGCTTCCCTGTTGCGCGACAGCGACTCGTCAGTGTGATGCATTTCCCACGGGAAAAGAGGGTCAACGTAGGTGTGGGTGAAGGGGGAAGGGGATCGGGCGCATTGCAGCCTCACTTTTTGGAAGTATCCTTGGCTCCCTTCTGCCAGCTAGCGGACTCGGCGGCTTCGCGCTTCGCGTCCTCTTGAGCAGCTTTCTGGGCCGCGGCCTCGGCCTTTTTGGCGTTGCCCGCTACCTTCTTGCTGTTCTCCCCCTTTTTACCAGCCATAGTTGTGTTTTTTGAGATGTGACCGCGACGACTAGGTGCCACTCGGATAGTGCGGCCAAGGGAGGAGTTGTTCTGGATGGAGGTTCAGCCTGATACAAGGTCAGAGACAAGGTGGTGGTGGAGGGAGGGGTGCATGCATGCGGAAGCGATGCGGAAGCGATGCAGGGGTACCTGGCCGGTCAGACGTGAGAGAAAAGGGCACGCCACACACGCAATGCTACTTGGAGGCTGGGCTGAAGATTGGTTTAAGGGACTTTGGTAATATGGAAATGCTGACTTGAGATATTACACGCGTACCTGAGGTACCAACTTTCGGGGTAAGGTAGGTACCTACCTAGGTATGGTGAAGCTACTTGGATTACTACCTAGGAACTACCTTACCGAGAAATAGGTACCTACCTTGCAGTGGTAGGTGTACCTTACCTAAGGTATAAAAGCTTCAGAAAATTGCTATAAATAATACAACTTATAAATATATTGATTCTGAATTTAATTCTATCAAATAAACTGAATTGGATTAAAGATATTAAGAATTGAAATTGAATTGTCAAGAATTACTACCGTTTGGTTGACATTTGAATTGATGGGGCGCTCAATTTGTATCCTGCTGAGCGTCTATGGTGGACCCATACCTCAACTACTCTGATCCTGGCCGTTCTTGCTTCTTTCTTTCTTTCCAGGGAGTCGGTTTGTATTAAAGGAACTTGTAAACGAAGGCTGAATCAGAGGTTGTTACCTTGCCAGAGATTGAACAACACCATGACGTCCCAAGATACTGAGATTGTCGATGTCGGCCGCCGGCCCTATAGCGATCGCTTGTCACAGCAGCCGATAGTCGGGTCAATTGAACAACGATCGCTTGTCTCAACGATGGACAGCTAGGTCAAGTCCGCAGCGATTAGCCGTCTTAATGAGAGATAGTTGGGTCAGCTTCACAACAATCACTCGTTCTAACAGCAGACAGCTAGTTCAGCTACGCAGCGATCGCTTGTCTTAAGGAGAGACGGCTAGGTCAGCAGTGCAGCAATTGTTCATCTTGACGAGGGACAGCTAGCTATTTTATGCCCTGGCAATCACTCGTCTTGAAAAGAGACAGCCGGGTCAACTACAGACAGCTGGGTCAGGTCTGCAACTGTTGCTTGTCACAGCAGCAGACGCTTCGGATTAGGGCACTGGCCGGTATCGGCGACCAGCCCGGCTCAGCTAGAGATGTGGTGGTTGACTAGTCATTCGTGGTGGTTCGATTTTGCAGCAAAATCCCATTTTTTAAGTAGGGCATTGGATCAGGGTAGCTCGCTATAACCCCTGTGGAAATCGTAAAACACGCCGCTCCCTCCCCGATTAGTCACCGACAGAGAAAACATCCCCACGATATCGCAACATCCTCCCTCCAATCCCTCCCTCTTCCATCAATCAATTCGCCCAGTGCACATGCAGAACAGCTAGAGACACCATGTCGACATTTGGCAAATACTTTCGCGTGACGACGTGAGTCCTCTCCCACCGCTAATTTGGACAACCTGCTGACCTCCATCCTCACAGCGCTGGCGAGTCCCACGGCAAGTTCATCTCCTGCATCATCGACAATTGCCCGCCAGGCCTGGCCCTCGTTGAGTCTGATATCCAGCCGCAGCTCACCCGTCGGCGTCCGGGCCAGTCGGCTATCACCACTCCGCGCAATGAGAAGGACCGCGTGACTATAGGATCTGGAACCGAGTTTGGGCGCACGTAAGATGACCCTGCAGGAACTCATGATGCTTCATGCTAACAGAACGAAGCCTAGGGACTCCAATTAGGTTTGTCGCGTTTTCCGAAGCGAAGATAATATACTAACCGTTTCCAGTTTGATAGTGATGAACGAAGACCAACGCCCGCATGACTATGGCGCCAAGACAATCGATGTCTACCCGCGCCCTTCCCACTCTGACTGGACTTACCTCGAGAAGTATGGCACCAAGGCCTCATCTGGAGGCGGCCGGAGCAGCGCCCGCGAGACTATCGCCCGCGTTGCCGCTGGTGCTGTTGCCGAGAAGTGGCTGAAGGAATCCTATGGCATTGAGATCGTTGCTTTTGTTTCCTCAGTTGGCAACATCAAGCTCTTTGGAGACAGGCCGACAACCGATGGCGACGAGATCGACGCCCTTAGCAACCATCCCAAGTTCCTCGAGCTTGTCGACTCTCTGACCCGCGAGAAGGTGGATGAGTTCCTTCCTGTGCGCTGCCCTGATGAGGCTATCGCGAAGCGTATGGAGGAAAAGGTTGCTGAGCTCCGCGATCAGCATGATTCTGTTGGTGGAACTGTAACCTGTATTATTCGCGGGTGCCCCTCCGGCCTAGGCGAGCCATGCTTTGACAAGCTTGAGGCTACCCTCGCCCACGCTATGATGTCTATTCCTGCTACTAAGGGCTTTGAGATTGGCTCTGGCTTTCAAGGCGCCGAGATGCGCGGCTCCCGCCATAATGACCCCTTCGTATCTGCCCCCGCTGTTGATGATGTGGCGCTGAGTGCCAGCGCTGGCATTCCTCCCTCCCGTCTAGCGACTAAGACAAACCACTCTGGCGGTATCCAAGGAGGCATCTCCAATGGCATGCCCATCTTCTTCCGCGTTGCGTTCAAGCCTCCTGCTACAATCTCCCAGGACCAGACTACTGCTCGCTACGATGCTTCGGGCGAGGGCATCCTGACCACCAAGGGCCGTCATGACCCCAACGTTGTTCCTCGTGCGGTCCCTATTGTTGAGGCCATGGCCGCTCTGACTATTGCTGATGCTCTTATGGCTCAGCATGCGAGGCACCTCGGGCTGAAGATTGCCGCAGCTGCACGGTAGTACATTTCTGAGCACAAGAGCTCAAATCATAAAGAAAAACCATCAAGAATACACACGGGATTAAGGGGGGGACACCGGTAGACCAGAAACGGTCAGGCAAGGAACTTGAGCGTTAGAAAAAAAGATACCTTTTATTACTCTTCAGCCCTGTTCATGTCCTATCCTTCCCTAATGGAACCGGAAATGCGAAGCTCAGGCCGGGAGGGACGGGCCTACTATACGACGATGGTGATTCCCCATAGTACTGTTCTGTTCTTCCTCTCTGCCTCCAACAAAATTCTACATACGACCAGGAGAAGCCTTCTGATGGCGCTGAACACACTGAACACGCCACTGCGCTGGTGGCAGAAGGCCCGGAGATGCTTGAGGCTTTGAAGTATCCCCGATTGGCGAGCACTCCCAGATGAGTATATTCCCTACACGGCCGAGGAAATAATGAAGGAGCGGGCTCGAGAAGTGTCGGCGCTTATGCAAGGGATGCGAAGGGTTTTTCCATCAGAGGCGATGAGAGGATTTAGCCGTGCAACGAAGACAAACTAGATAGTGGTAGATACCTTAGTGAACGATCAAGCGTCGACCTACGTCATGAGGGAGTACGAATGCTTGGCCGCATCGCTTTAAAGGGGTCATATTCAGCAATCAAAAACGAGTCACCACTATGAAGTATTCCATTCCGGTATAACAGAGATCGCGAAAATCTTAATCAAGTATACTCCGCAATGAATCAGCATTTCTCTAGACTTGATCTCCTCTCGTTAACGTCCGTTTCGCGTCATAAAGCGAGCAATCCTGCCATGGCCTCGAAATTCCAATTAGCGTCCACACCAGCCCAAACCCTGGGCCAGTACTTGAGAGATATGGAAATGATGACTTGAGATATTACACGCGTACCTCAGGTACCGACTTTCGGCGCGAGATGTTGAAGGTACTTGGATCACTACCTAAGTTCCCTACCTAAGCTAAGGTGTATATCCAGTACCGGCTGGAAGGCGCGGCAGGACGGGGGCCAAGCCAATGGCTGTGCTCATGTGGATAATCTTCACCTGGAAACTTGGCATCAAGTGGCTGGGGGGTCTTGCTATCTTGGAACCAACAAGCTGGGCTGACAAAGCTCCAGCACACCTCCTCACCTTGTTGCAGAGCTTCCCCTGGAGGCTGCCTGCGCTAAAACCTTCCCCCCCAGGTTTCCCACCAGCACGAAGCTAGGGGATCTCATCTGTCCATGGCCGCTATCATGCGCTACGATGTATAGTTACGTATACTAACGCGGCCAAAGGACTCGGGCAGGGTAGGCCGCCGGAGTTAACAACAAACATACATACCTTACTTATCAAAGGCCTAATGTACTGCACGTCGTAACCGGCTCTCGGCCTGGTGGGCTAGCGCTGGCTCCTCTCGGTCTGCAGTTCAACCTTGGCCAGCATCGCGACAGGGCTGGGCTGTCCCCAATCAAGCACGATGTTCCCAATGCCGACTCACCGAGTAATATTATACCTAACCTCATGTCACATCAAAACACCAACCCCAGACTCTGCAGCCAGGCTGCTATGGTCATACGCCCTCTCGAAACGGGCGCCTGAGACCTAAGCGAGCAATACCGGCACGCGCTAGATAAATCATCATGGTGAACATCCATGAAACTACCACCTGGTATCGCTGAATACAAGGCCCCATGTCCATCTTTGCAATCGGGAAGTGTCGTCGTTTGCGTGTTTTTATCGCCGTCTACTCTCGAAGAGTCCATTGATGGGAGAAGACTCTCCGCGGATCCAGTCTGACACAGCTGACATGTGTTGGTCAGCCACCAAAGATTGCCATGCATTGGCAGATGGCCAATCAAGCAGCACTCCAGCTGGGCTTGTGCTACCTCAAGCCATGTACCTCCGACCCAGCAGGGCAAGGATAGGAGAATGCGTGAACACCGCCAGACCTGCTCCCGGTCAAGCCTCTTTTCCAAACGGCGAACTGCCTGCACTAGTTCCAGTTGGCTGGGCGTCCTGGGGTTACACAAAACCGTGCCTCGCCACGCCTCTGCATCCTGAGGTGGTCAGATGCCTAGCCAGAAATGTAGTATGTGAAGCTAAACAAGGGTCGCCGTCTGCCTAGAGCAAGGAGAACGATCATCATTCCTTTCCTTGGCCAGCTCAATTAATCGGTCTGAATGCTGAGGCCACGGGAACGCGGAGATTTCCTTGTGTGTTTTTCGTGCATCTCCATATGCAGCGAGCGTGCTTCCATCAGCTCATTCATGGATCATCAAATCCCCTGCCCTCCCGTCCATGCCGGACCTTGCTCGGCGCCCAGGAAACCGGGCTCCGCACACTATGCTGGCGGGCCGCTCCTCTATGTATGTACACAGTAAGGTGGCCGATTCGGTTCCCTTGTTTAGTCAACGTAGCTCGCACTTTGGTCGGAGGCATCCAGGCCGTCCTTTGGAGCTAGTAGCTCGGCGGCGTACCAAATTCAAAGAGGAAACCAAGTCGTCACGAAGCAGAGGCTGAGGCCCCCAAGAAGAAAGGAGCCCAGATCCTTGGGGCGTACTCATCCTAGAGCTGACTTGACTGATATGGCGGTTTGCAGGTCGCTCTAGCGAAAGACGGCAGACCCGATACAAAGTTGTTACCAAACGCCAGCCAGGATCCCCTCTGGCATGAACAAGCATGCCGATCTCATCACAGACCTGGTTGCCTGGGTGGAAATATCGAGCAACCTCGCATGCGGGGAACCTGCCAAGTTTCCTCACACCTGCTATTAGTAGCAGCTCTGACTGCTCGGTTGCACCGGACCTCGCCTTGCTGAAGGAGAAAAAAAGGGTGTTCGCAGCAGTCCCGAACCCCCGGGACCCTCGCTACCTGACCCCAATCTTCACCCCTCTACCCCCCTAGTTCATGTGGCGTAGCTGGGCAATAAATCTAATGCTAATATTGATCGAGCCAAAGCCTCCTGCAGGTTACCCGACAAGGAAACAAACCTCGGTTTGATTCGAGTGGCACCACGTTATCCTTTCAGCTTCAGGCCGCAGAAACGAACCACCATGGTCCATCTCCCCAGCGGAGCTAGCCATGGGCATGGCCAATGGCCAAACGCTCAGCCAGGGTGTTTCTGCTACCACAGAAAGACCTGTAAACAGTCTCCCCTGAGCTCCCCCTCGGACAGAGATCGGCAGAAAGAGACGTCTTGTACTACAAGCCTAAGCCTCGAACGGTTTGCTTTGCGTTTGCTGTTGCCCCGTTATGGCGCCATTCTTCGTAATCCAATGCCACTTCAGCGTCGACCAACAAAGATGTCCTGCATCTCAGGATTGCTGAGGCAAGCGCAAGAAATCGAGATTGCCGTATAGGCGCACCCAAAACTCCAACCATCGTAAAAGTGCGTGAAGGGTTGATCGATCTTACGTACTTGGAGTAGAACCACGGGCCAAAATACTTCCCAGTACTGTGATTTTCCGTCGCCAATGCCCCGGGATCTCCAACAACATACGTAAATAACTTAATGCGGGGAAATTTCACAGACCCTGTCCTTTTCAGATACGAGGGCGTGATTCATGGATTGTTTAGAACCTTGTCGCGACGTAACATGGTTCATAGGGTTCCATGATCCCCCCCAGCATTTCTCAGCTTGCCTGTTCCCAAGTAAGCCGTACGAAACACGAACGAAGATAAGCCCCAAAGCATGGAAAGAAACCACTAGGTCAAAGGTAGAGCAATGCCCCGGATGTGTAGGGTCCAAAATCTTATGTTCAAGACTAAACCACACTTGGCTTCCCGTGCAAGATGCAGGAAGGGAAGGGATGTGGGATGTGAAAGAATAATCCTGTTTCCAGCTGCGCTATGATAGTTTTTTGGGGGGAAAAACCCCCGACTCTCTCTGGAAGCTGAAAGCCTCGAAATATTGCACCAGAATCGGTCGGTTATAGGCACTTATAAAGGTATTATGAAATAACCACCTTCACCGATTGTTGTTCCGAGTGTCGTAGCAGATGAGGATAAAAAAGCATCCAGTGAAGTTTAGGAATTCGAAGTCGGCTGACTTTGCTCATGGAGTCCTTCACACTTGGTGGTGGAAGTCCCCTGCCCAACTGAGGCCTGCCATGTCTTGTGCTTCTGGCATAGCATTCATCATGTAATATGCACCATATATGTGACCTGTACTCAGCACTAGCCTGGCCTGACTACGACGTAGCAGTATGTAGTAGTAGCGAATATTTTCACCGCCACACAATCAGTTTTGGATCCAGCCTGCCGTAGCTTAGGAGCCAAATCGGACATGATGCGATGCTGCTCCAACAGAGAGCGATCAAGGGAGGGAGTGATCCCTGGAGCTGCAGAACCCTACGCCAATTCTGAATAATAAGGAGGGGGGGTGCGCTGCGAAGATTCGTGCATGGTCGGGCCGTCAGGGCCTGGCATTGGGCGCATGTCATGCACAAGGGACTCCGTTAAGCAGGTCGACGGGGTGCGGCTCAACCCCCAACAGCCCTGACTGAATCCCTAGCCACATCGAGCTGTATCAGCCGAATACAAACTTTGTGCAGCGTAACACTGCTCAGGACCCGGATGCAGGTCCCAGTTCATTCGCCAACGAAGGCTGCCACATGATGCTGGCCAGAGCGAGAATTCTCCTCTCAATTGAGTATGCGAATCAAGCTCGCAAAGCGCCTCCCTTTCGAGGACACACCGCATATCTAGGTTTGTTGACATGTAACAATGCCGAATAGGGGATTGACATGGAGGCGCAACACGCAGCTGAGCTTCAACGCCGTACCCTAGACCAGGTGCTCTTATTAGTCGATAGTTCACATGGGCCTAGGACTGTCTGGGTTAATGAGCCAAGGAAAAAAGATTGTGATCACATACAATAGAGATTGTATATAGTCATTCAGCACTTATGAAGGCGAAAGGAACGCAACAAGACCCAAAATGACAGGACATGGTGGTGGCATAAAATGACTTGTCACTCTCCAAGTGCAGGCGCTTGACCCAGAATGCCCACGAGGATGC